AATGTGTTTTAAGTGTCTGTGAAGTATATCCATCTATTTCAAGCACTTCAAAAGTGGCATAGTATTACCTGAAAGATGAACTTTATTATCTCTTAATTTCTTATTACAATATTCCTTTTTTGAAAAAACTATTTATTCTGAGAGACACACAGAGAAAGAGAGTATAAGCAGGAGGAGGTAGAGGGAGAGAGAGAACCTTAACTTGGCTTCACACTGAGCACAGAGCCCAATTTGGGGCTCCATCTCAGGACTCTGAGATCATGACCTGAGCCAAAAATCAAGAGTTGGACACTTAGCTGACTGAGCCACCCAGGTGTCCCTTATTAGAATATCCCAAATAAATTCTTGGGCCCACCTCCATATTACACAAATGAGAATTTCTATACTATATAGGCATAAAAGATGATAACATTGTAAAAAAATCAATATATGTACAATTTTACTATTAATAATCTATATTTGTTTTCCTAATAGAAGGTATAGACAAAATCAACATCATGCTTTTATTATCAAGGTATAGAATCAGAAAGATCCCCGAAGTCTGTATTCCAATGGCCTTTCCATGATAAATACACAGGAAAGTGCCTATCTTGGATAAGGAATAATATTTTTATACCACAGATTTCCAAAATAGGCTGCAAAATGCATTACTATTCATAGAAAATCTTATGATCTATAATATTCATGTAGCAAAGGCCCCCGTAAACCACTTATCCCAATTCCCTAATTCACAGATGAACTCACAGAATCCCAAGACAAGGAATTGTTGGTCCTGTTTCTGTTTGCTCATCTGGAACTAAAGCACGTTTGAAAAGAAAGCAACCATTCAACACTGGTGGAGTGCACAGAGTCCTGGGATGGGAATCAGACTAAACATGGGATATATGTCAGCATCCCTACCTCTCTGTGCTGTTACCCTCCATCTAGAAATGGGGAGAACATCATTCATATCAAGATACGTGTGGCCTCTGTAAGAAGTTTGCACCCAACAAACACTCAGTCATGGTTTGTAAATCAGAGTTTGCATTGTTACTGGAATGGTGGGTTTATTGGTGAAACCCAATCCTGAGAAATGTTTAATGACTTTTATTATATATCAGAGAGGTAGAATCCTATCATGTCCTAGGAAGTTCATTCAGGAATGTGTGGAAATAGAGGTGCCTGGGTGACTCCGTTGGTTAAGTGTCCAACTCTTGACTTTGGCTCAGGTTATGATCTCAGGTTTGAGGGATCAAGTCTGGCCCCCACTGCCTCTCCCTCTTTAAAAAAAAAAAAGAAAGAAACAAACAAAGAGAGAAAGAAACAAACAAACAAAGAAATAAATAAATAAGAAAAAGAGAGGGTGGAAATGGTAAAATGTGTCTCAGTTAAGTACAGTAAGATTTGCCTCCCTTTCTCTTTTTCTCTCTTTAAATTTTCATCTTTATGGAAATCTCCAGTAATTTTGAAATGAAGAGTCTATTAAGTGGAAAATGATAGGTCTCTTAGAAAATCTGTGGCATAGATACAGAGAAGCACTGTTTTATTTTTCATCTAGATCTATGAAACATCATTGGAAGGAAGCAAAGCACCCAATGCATGGAACCCACGCTGTCTCTGCCCTGTTTCTGAGAACCAAAGAAGGGTCCATTCAATATTTAACAGAGATCACTGGTGCTCTTGCAGCCCA